TGGCTAAGGAAGCCATTAAATAATTGCTGTATTGAAGTTGTTTTGTAGTTAACCTACTCGTTATGGCTAAGGAAGCCATTAAATAATTGCTGTATTGAAGTTGGTTTGTAGTTAACCTACTCGTTATGGCTAAGGAAGCCATTAAATAATTGCTGTATTGAAGTTGGTTTGTAGTTAACCTACTCGTTATGGTTAAGGAAGCCATTAAATAATTGCTGTATTATGACATTTTGGACATTCTGCTTTACTCGTGTAAATGGAATTCTCTGGAAAAGAAAACTGTTCTTCTTCTATCAGACCATGTTAATAGTGTACAACACTTCCAGCAGTGGTTTGGGAACAATCACTTTCAGATTCTTACTTGACCTGTCCAAGCCCTCGCCCCCAACACTTGTATAAACTCAACCACACTACTGGACAGTAATGTTGAATGTAGAAAATTCGCAGATGATTTTTTTGTTCACAATTTTAACAAGTAGATCTTTACCACATTGTACCTCTTACACCAAAACTTTTATCCAGTACTGATGCACATCTAGTGGAACCGACTGATATTCTTACTGCATATCAGTTTTAGAAGGTCCATTTGTTAAAACTGTGAAAAAGTTTTAGGAGTTTTCTTTTCAATAAACTCACTGTAAGTTTTTGTATTCAACGTGACAATATTCGAAAGGTATCACCGCCGATGTCTGTTCAGCGTTCTTTTCATGAATGTATTTTTGGAAGGGCTGGGATATGCCTACTTTACATCCTCTTCAAAAACGTTCAACAACAACATATTGCTTGATGTAAAGCAATATATATATATATTGAATAATAAGAAACTTCACCCAGTTCTGAAATGATACATTGAATGTTTGTCTGGTGGTAAGCAGATGTGTTAACGTTAAAAGATTGTGATGTAGATGTTGTGATGCGAGTTAAAATTTGTATCGTGAGCACGTGCCTTACGTGTATATACATTTCGAAATGTCAACGGATATATAAAGGAACGTTTTTCAGGTTCTTGGGCCAAGGAGTTTGATTAACGTGTCAGTGTGTTTATCTAGATGAAGAATAGTCCTAACAGTAACACATTTAAAAGGACTAAAACCTGACTTGACATTAGTAATACCAATGTCTTTAAGTAGCCCGCCTGGATCGTCAAAATCCTAATAAAACATTATTATTTGTGGACATCTTTAGCTGTGGGGAGTGCCCCCTTGAAGGGGTAAAACTATAACTAGAGGAATATGAATTATATCTGAAAGAACAAAAAAAGATTATAATTTGAAAACTACAGTACAAATATTACAACTCTTAAGTAATATAACAACAACAATTAAAATGGGGGAAAATTATGACATGTTAGGCCATAGTTTCCCCATCGTCATAAACTGTTCAAGCCGTTGAAGCAATCAGGTCAGAACAGGGGGGGGGGGCATGGTCCTACGATTTCGAGGGGGCCTACTTCCGAATACAGAATAAACATGAATGTACTATTGTATTTACTCCTTCTTATTACAGTACTGTACTCTATTGTCTTGTATACATTTTGAATAAAATTGCTTGCCATTAATTTTTTTATAAATCGTTCTCGTTCTTTTATTCGTTTCTGTTACTTGTAAATACATCATGTACGTGTATATACCCATACATACATCAAATGTATTAAACACTGATTACAAAAATGCTTAATGAGCTGTTTGAAATGGGGCCTACATTTCCCATCTGTCCTGGGCCTATTACCAGCTTTGCACAGGCCTGGAAGCAATTTAAATAAACTGCACTCAACGTCTGTCGGAACCTGGCTGAGAGCAAACCTAGCAAAATAGTAACATCTACTG